TACTTTTGATGTCATAATTTTTATGCAATTTTCTACATAAGTGTTTAATCTTACAAGTAAAAGTTTTTTGAGTTTTTTAATTCAGGTTCATACAATATGAGGTAATGTGAGATAAATATGAAAACTAAGAAAGCTAAGTTCAGACTAGTTCTTAGGCAGATGTCCTAACACCATGGCAGAGATTCTAACTGAATCTACCTAAACAAGTGTGAAATTAATTGCAAAATACTGAAATTCATAGAAAAATGGAAAAGAAAAAAAAAACAAACACACAATAGCCCTATGTATTCAAGAAAGCCAGTACTCATTAAATCTTCATTGAAGCTTTCCAAAATTAATTATATAGAATCTTTCATCAATAAGCTAAAAGTTTGGGTTTTTTTAAAGATTTTATTTATTTATTTGACCGAGAGAGACACAGCAAGAAACGGAACACAAGCAGGGGGAGTGCGAGAGGGAGAAGCAGGCTTTCCCGCTGAGCAGGGAGCCCGATACAGGGCTCAATCCCAGGACCCTGGGATCATGACCTTTGCCAAAGGCAGACGCTTAACAACTGAGCCACCCAGGCGCCCCAATAGGCTAAAATTTATATGAAATACTGACCTCAAGTAAAACCACAAGAAAATTAAAGTGTTTATACTGATTAGCTCCATGAAAGAAGGACTGGTCTGTTTTATTCATAACTGTATACATAATGTTTACATTTAGAGTGGCAAACTGTCCTAGCATGCTCAGGACATAGAACTTTTAGTGCTAAAACCAGGACGTTCCCATATAAATCAAGATGTTTTGCCATCCTATCATAGTGCCCTGCATATTAGTCAATAAATACAGAATTCATAGGTGATATTCTAAACCCCACCTTTAGTCATTCATTCAACAATAGTGAATGCTTTATTGTGTGTGGAGAGAGGCAGTGAGGGTATAATAACGAATAAGCTAAAATTCTGGCCTCCAATAGTGGGAAAGCCAGAAAAATAAATAATTATACTACAAACAGTGTTGCCAATAATTAAGGTATAAAATATAGGAGAAGAAGGTTCTGGGGAATTAGGGTCAGTGGAGTATGGGACATATGGATATATTGGCATGTGAAGTGCCAACTATGAATAATAAATCATACTGTCAGGTAGAAAGAAGAAATTAAGAATAACAGGTGAAGGAAATATTTGAAAAGAAAGAAAGAAGTTCAGTTTGGGAAATACTGAGTTTGAGGCACCAACAGCAGAAGATAAATCAAACTGACATTAAGCAATAAAAGATAGTCCATTCTGAGAAAGAAGGTGGGCAGCATGTGATTAAAGGGCAAGTTCTATAGCCACAGCTACTGCCACAAAACAAAAAGGTCATTCTTCATATAAAAGCAATAACGAGACCTTTGAAACATACTCATCTTCAGGGACATCAACATATACAGCAATCACATATATATAGTTTATTTAAACTTAAAGACAGATTGCATTTCCTGAGATGGTCTCCCTAAATTCTGACTGGCTAATAAGATAAATCATTATTGGTGGCATAAGCTCATAGACACAAGTGCAAGACCATGGACTGCTCATGTTTCTGTGGCAGGTAAAGCTAACCACTCCTCCGTCAAAGAAGAAATCTGGGAAAGAGTATATTTAGGAGCTGGTGTTACCCAACTTAGATAACTAATATAGAACCAATATAGATAACCAATATACAGCTGATGTAGGGTGCCATTTATTATGTAAATCAAGTTCAAAAAGCAATTAAATTCTCCTTAGCACAATATGCCAGGAAAAGTCACATTACTAAACAGACTGTTTATATTTTACTAGGCTGGTTGTCTCTGGAGAAAATTTGCTTTGAAGAGAAAAAATATCCTTCCTTCTTAGATAAATGTGAGAAAGTCAGGAATAGTTCTCAATAATTGGAATTGGAATATCCATTCTCTCTCCTACTCATGAAATCAGAGCAGCTCAGTCCTGTTCTTTTTGGGCTGCAAATCCTGGGTTGAAAAGAGTCTCTCTGATTAAATGGCTGAAGGCTGAGGCAATGAAGTTTGCAGACTGGGGTGAAAAGAATTTCCTGAGGAAAATGTGAAAATAATACACTGGAGGATTGACCAAGCAGGCTACAGTAGTACGAGAGTGGTAATTAGGAAAGAGAAAAGTTGGGAATAACTAGTATTTGCATCTATCTCCTGAAGATCTAAGACTCTAAGCTCCTCTGCTCTTCTGTGGTTCAAGGTAACAAGTTATATAAAGTCCCAACATCTATTCCTCCCACATCATACTCTATAAAATCTACCTGACCCTTAATTGAAATAACTGTGTATATTTCTGCACAGACCAGTGTTTGCTGATCTTAAAGAGGGGTAAAATAGAATAAACCTAGGAAAGAGATAATAGCTACTTTTAAATTATCCAGTAGAGAAATGATACTTGTACCTTCTATTAATTATTAGCATGTTGTCACTGAGTATTGCTAAAACAGGGCTCAACAGGATGCAGCTGCTTTGAGTGGCCAAGCACAGAATTTCCTAGCTTCTTTCACAGGTCAGTAAGGCAAAATTCTATAAAACAGTAAAAGGAGGGCCTTGCAACACCCCACTTAACTGCTCTCTAAGCAGAGTTCACATAAGTCATGAAGTGAGTTTTTAATTCTGCTATGTGTAGCTCATTAGACTTTTTAAAAATTTTATTCCAAGAATTACCACTTGTTTATTTTTTTTTAATTAAGCATCTACGTGTTATGGTATTGAGCTAAAAACTGAGGGTAACAGTAAAGATCATGGCTATTGCCCCCAAGAGAATCACATTTAGTGTGGCAGCCAGATAAGTTAACAGATAATTAAGATATAGTATCAAAGTGCTATGAAAGGGTCATTAAGAAGTCAAAGAAAGACTTGAGGAATAGTAGAGTCAAAGAACAATTTTACTTTTCCTGAGTCTAAAAGAGTAAGTAGGACTCAGCCAGATGAGGAAGGAAGAGCATACTAGGCAAAGTATCAGCAGCTACAAAAGCATGGAGGTGAGTGAGCATGAACTTCTAGAAAATGCAAAGTTGAAACTGCTGATATGTATGTGGGGTAAGTGTTGGGTATAGGTGAGAGAGAATGTGGGAGGCCAGGTAAGGGATCAGACCATGAAGAATCTTATTCACTATGCTAAGTAGTTCAGATTTTAACCTTAATGTTAAAAGGATTTTTTTAAACAAATAACATAATTATATCCTAGGAAGATCATTTTAGCTATGAGAGAAGCTGAAAACTGAAATAGAGGAAAACAGCAATATTTTATTGGTTTAATTCAGAATAGAAATAATGAGCCCTGAACAGTCAAGGGAAGTTACATGAAGATAGAGAACTAATTTAAGAGACAATGAGAAGATAGAATCAATAGATCTTAATGATCAATGAGTGTGTTCACAGAAGTCTAGAATAATTCCAAAGTTTAAAATTTATAATTGACTGATAGGGAATTTTTCAAAGGGGCTAGTAATGATGGGGGACATAATGAACTCAGACACTTGGGAGTTCCAGATGTCAGAGACTACCCAGATAAAGATGTTCAAAACAGTAATGGCAATAAGAAGGCCCTAAGATCAGGAGAAAGTTCATCTTAGAGATATAAATCACCTATATCTCTAAAGACTTTCTTCTGGGATTCATCAGAATCAGAATAGGGATAGTAGTTAAAGCCATAGATTTGAACAAGAAAGTGCACTAGAAAAGAAACCAGCAAAGGACAGAAAATAGACTATATCAACATTTAAAAGACCTTTAGAAAAATAATCACCTGACAATGAAGACAATGAAGGATTGATTGTCGAGAGAAAAAATGATTGCCTTATTCAACATTTATACATGTTAATGATTAGGTCCTAACCATGCATCAGGCACTGTTTCAAGACAATAACAGGAAAAAGAACCAGGAAAAAATGATGATGTTACAAATACCAGGGGAAGAAATATTTCTAAAGACAGTGTTCAGCTGTGTCAAAATAAAATAAGGATTGAAAAGCATCACAGGTATAAGTATTTTGGGTGGTGGTTGGTGGTTAATACATTGTTAGGGAGGTTAATGTCTCTAACAACTCAATTGTATTAAATACAGACATAGGCTCCAAGAACACTGATATTGATATCAGATGCTGAAAAGCAGTAAAATTCAAAAATTAAAACAATGACAAATCTGCACTCCACCCAAAGAAACTTAAATCAACCTAATATGTCATCAATCATGTAAACACAGTAATGGCATTTGTTTAAAATAGAGTGTAACAATAGGGGAAATGCAGATTAACAAGGGAAAAACTATAATTTGGATGGTAGTAAGCGCCACAAAATCATCAAATTAGAAAAAGCAGAAAGCAAATTATAAGTATTTGATAAATGCTTCCCCTAAGTCACTAACTGCAAATGAGAGAAAATAATTATTGCAAGTAATTATTTAAATTATCCATTCCCACTCCATCTCTTCAAGTATAGCTTCCCTCCCCCCCTGCAAAATGTGGGCTCTCATTAGTATGTTCAAAAAAGAAGATGGATATGGCCAGTTAGGAAGCATCTATCAAAAAATACACGGGACTATCGTTAAATCATAATACAAAATAGAAATATAAAAGTTACACTTTAGTAAATTAAGTCTCTCTGGTTAATGGTAGCAAAGGTGTGTGAAGCAGACAGGATTACAAACAGCAGATGGTAAGAAATAACATACGATTTGGGACTCATATAGTCATCAGAGCCAGGAAATCAAAATCCGAGATCTAATCTGTACAATTCAAAGTAGGATGGAGATAACCATTGTAGCATCAAAAGTCCTAGCCATACGCTTACTGACCTTATGAAATGCGACAAATGATTTTACCATTTATCACCTGTAAAATTAGGAGAGTTTTTTCCCTGCCTATTTTATGTTTTGTTACACTTATGAAGTGGTACCATTATGTTTAACAAGTACACAGAAGCGGGCCTGGCTGAAAGTGAGGTGCCGGTCACAGAAGGCTTGCCTTTCCCTACCTCTCACCTGTTGCCTGCTCCTTCAGGAAAGGTACCCGGTAGGTTCCAGGACCCACATGCTCCTCAGTGCTGCCACCTTCAGCCAATCTCAGCAAGCGGGGAGCTCGATTATACATAATTGTGGGAGGCGGGGACGGGGCGGGAGGAACCGCAGCTGTAGAAGGGTAAAAACAAGGTGACTAGAGGTGTGGAGCAAAAGGAAGCTGACGACAGTCTGAAGAAGGTCGAGCAGAACTTGAATAAATGGACGAACCACCATAGAGGCTACCTCCCACCTGCTCATTGGGGTCAGATTTTCCCTACGTCAATTTATGGCCCGGTGGTAAAGTGAAAGGGAGCGTGACCAGGGATAAGATATCCCGCAAAACCATCTATCCGTTCACCAGGTGAGAGTGAGGTGCTCCGTCAAGAAAGGAGATTAAAAAGTAGGCGCCAGTCCCTGTACTTCCGGTCTTCCCTCCGCCCATTTCTCTCCGCCCCGGAAGTCTCTAGGAGCGAGGGGTCGAAGTGCTCCTCCCTGGCCAAGCTCTCGGAACTTGCGCACGGAGCTGCGGACGTCCCGCCTCCTTCCGCCCTACGCTCAGCGCGTACTGAACAAAAGAGCCGGGGGAATCTGGGGCGTCCTCTTGCGGCGCCAACAGCTTTTAGTTTTGTGCTTGTCGGAAAAGCTCTAGGAAACACGTTAGAAGGAGTTGGAGCTTAGTTGACCATGACCCCTTTCCGCTATAAACCAGTTAGAGCGACAGGGAAGACACTAGCAAAAACTGTGAAAGAAAAAACCATTCTCTCCAACTTGCTGAGTTCTGCAAGCTCAGCACCCACTCCTACTACAATTACATTCGCACCCTCAAAGGAAAATACCTCTGACTCTATCGTACAGATAATCCAAACTACGAAGAGAATCTCACGAAGTGGTGGTGACAAGAAACAGTGAACCCGAGGAAGGAGAGGAAAAGCTCACCAACCGAAGCAATGCAAAGGCCAGGTAACAGAAAGCTGTGTTTGTTGTCTCATGCCAGGCAACGGCAACATTGACTCCTCACTCTGTTTATAAGCAAGGGCTTGAGAAAGCCCAGTCCACCCCCGCAGAGCCAATGGGTCTCTTAACCTTAGACCGAAGGAACCTGGCTTGTGCAAAGGTCTTAAGGAGTCTATGTCAGAATCCACCTTAAAGTGGTTTCTGGCAGTTTTTTTCAGCAAGAATCCCTTCCACATTCTAATCACCCTTAAAGGCTTAAATAAATACTGCCTTGACCGTGCCTCACCCCCAAATGAGCTACAGTACTTTAACTTGTATCTACTACAAATTTGTACAGTATTTATATTCTGTAGAATATGATTTGATACCCAATTCTGTGGGTCATTTATTGTGACAATTGTTCCATATAGGTTAGAATGCTCTCCATACAAAGCTATCTGCTTCTAAAGGATATATCTGTAGTACCTCTTTCTTTTTCCTGCTCAGTAGCTAGCTGAATAATTATTTACTTGAAAAACACGTATTGGCAAATTATACACACACACACACACACTATAGACTGCTGCTAGGCTATGGAGATACAAAGATACAACAAAGTTCAGCCTCAGGCATTCTATACGGAATGGGGAAAGAGATGTGTATTAGCCAAAGTTCAGCCTCGGGCATTCTATACGGAATGGGGAAAGAGATGTGTATTAGCCATAATATGAGGTGACAGGAGAGATGTATAAAATAAAAAAATACTGCAGGACTTTGGAACCCACCCCTTCCTACTAAGAAACTAGATGCTGATCTGTAATCCTTTCTCGTTGACTTCGTTTCTCCTTGCATGCTTGCAGAAAGCCTCATAGTTTTCTCAAAGTTATTTAAACTTTATTTTCCCAAGCTTCAACAGATACCCATTGAGATCTAGAACCCACTTACTATTAGATTTTATGATACACTATGAAAAGAGTCACAGAGGCAAAAAGAGAAAAATCTATATGCTTTGGAGGATGATCCAGTGGTGCTGTAAATTAGCTTTCTATTGGTGGACATTCCTTAAGGACTTCATTTTCCCTTGACCCAAACAAGAATAGAAACCCAGAAAGCAAATTCAGGTCTAGGCCATCTTTGTAGTAGACACTGGTGTGGAGTGACAACCTCCTTCTGGCTGTTCATGTCTGTTGTGGCCTTGATTACTCTTTCCTTGGATAGATTTGGGTTTGAGATTGGTAATGGAAGTGATAAAGCAGAGTTTATCTCCTTTTTATCTTGATTTTATTTTTGGCCAGTGAGCCTAACCTAATTTAGACGGAAGGAGTTCTTCATAGAGTCTATCCTAGCTCATTTGCAGATCTCTAAGCAGGACTTTGTGACCTTAATACCTTTGTACCAGCTACAAATACAGTGTTTTTCTATCTTGCCTTCCTCCTCAGTGCATGTTCTTTTCTCAAGGACCTCACAGAAGGGTAACTGATGAATGGCAGGACTCTAATGTTGCTGGGTCTTGCGGCCAGATCCTATCTAAATAACACACCTCTGTATCAAAATAAAGGTACAACCTCTACAATCTTTATAATTTTTTAATACTTGGAGTCTCTCAGAATCTCCATTCTTAACACAGAGTCTTTCTTTTAAAAGTTTGTAGTGTGAAAATCCTTCCTCTATTTCCTTGGTCACTGTGGCTGTTCTTTCCACCTTTCCCAGCTATTATTTCCTTCTTATGATTCAATATCAAGAATGATACACCATATTTCAGAATTGGAAAATCTTTTTTAAATGAGAACAGTAAATCTTTTTCATTATCTCTCATTGTAGTATTTCTTGAATAGTTTAGAATGAATGTGCTGCAGAAAAAAATACATTAACACAGAATTATAATTACATATAAAGACAAAATAAAGAATTTGGCTCAGCATTTCTCAGTTCCTGCAAAATAGTCTTAATGCTAATTAACCACCTTATACAACTATTTCCATGGTATTAGTAAAAAATGGAACCTATGTTTGAACTAAGATTTATTTGACTACAAAATTTGGGTTCTTTCATTCCTCCATGTTGGCTACCACTAGAAAAAACTTTAAAATGAAGTTTGAATAAATCAGATTGATTCTTTATCAAATATGTTAGCTACAGTGAAGAACTCCATAGTCACCAATTTTTCCTTATAACATTCTGAGGATTAAGTAGATAGCAGGTGATATCTGGAGTATTGCATGAGATATGGGAATTCTGCCTTCAATAGCTTTAAATACCTTATAAATATTATAAAACAATTTGTTTTGAAAACTAATTTCTTCAGCCCATTATGATTTGGTTTCCATTGTTTTGCTTTTTGTAAAAATAAAAATCAAATAATAGTAATACTTTGTATGTATTATACAACAGAATGTACTTTGTCAATGTTATTAGTGGTCACGTTGTAAAGTGATATGCATTCAAGTTAAAATGGTAAAAATACTTATATGATCATTTGAAGCTTACAAAATATATTTTATGTTCGGTATTTAGTTTAATATAAATTTGTTTCTCTAAACTGCAGACTTAATATGATTCTGAAATATCAGAATTTCATGAAATGTGTTTTAAAAATTATACCATGTTATCAGTGACCACCTGATTTTTTTCACTTACATTCATTGAGCACCTATTATATGCTAGCACTGTGTGAAGCACCTTATATGAATAATCTAAATCATTTCTCATATAACTCATGAGGTAAGTTGTATTAATATCTTTATTAGTATGCTGAAAGCCATTAAATTTCTCACCCAGTATCACATAGTTAATGAATAACAGAGCTGGATTTCAAGCTAGTCAGTTTGACTCTAGACCTGTTTTCTTCTTCTTCTTCTTTTTTTTTTAAGTATGCTGTAATGTGGGGCTTGAACTCATGACCCTGAGCTTGAGACCTGAACTGATACCAAGAGTCGGACACGTAACTGACTGAGTCACCAGGACCCTTCTAGACCTGTTCTCATAGCCATTATAAGGGACATATTCCCAACTATGCCCTACTTTCACACCCAATAATTTTTTCCTCAGTTCTTATTTGAGATTGGCTATATGTTTGTTAATTCATTTAAAAAAGGAAGACTGGAGGTAGTCTTTCAGGGGTGATATGGTGACTCCTGGATGGCAGGGAACCAGGATGCTCTGTTATGCTGCTCCATATCTTGATATATGCCTCCCAGTCTCAGCTGAGCTCGTGGTCTAAAAATTATCTGCTAGAGTTCTAACCGTTATAAGCAGCAGGAAGGTAAAATAAAAGTATGCCCTCCTCCCTTTCAAGGAGACTTCCCAGAAGTAACACATAGAAAATATGTGCTTACATTTCATTGGCCCAAATTATGTCAACAGGCACATATAGCTATAAAAGAGGCTGGGAAAAAAAAAAAGGAAAAAGAGGCTGGGAAACACAGCCTATCTCTGGGTATCAGGTTCAATCACGAAGGAGAAGGGAGTCCATGTAAAGAAACACTTCTCAGTTTTTTCCACAATAGCCCTTTTGGGAAACCTTTCTCTCCCTTGGTGTCCGAGGTACTGTACTTTCCAGGTTCTCATTTACTGTCCTTTAACAGCATCTACTGTCTCCTCTAATTTTTGGGTTTTTTTCTCTCATTTTTCTTTCTCTCCCATCTTCGCTCTTTCTCCCTTGGTAATCATTCATTCTCAAACCATGTATCCTCTTTGAGATTCAGGCATTTCCAAGTGTCTGCTCAACATTTAAATATAAGTGATCCACCATCACTTCAAATTAAATATTCTCAAACTTTAATTCATTTTTTCTCTGGAAGGCCTGATCATACTCCTAATCTCCTATTTATGTTCAGAAGAGCAATATCCTTCCATACATAAGGCTTAAAACCTCTTAGACTACTTCCAGTCTTTGTGCTCCCACATCCAAACAGCTGCCAGTTCCACTGTTTCCACCTGTGATCTGAAATCCACTCCTCACTGCACTCTCGCTGTCATTTTGTTGATGCGCTCAACCCTACTGATTTGGTGCATTCTAACATCTCAACTGGAATGCCTTTGATAACCTGTCTGTTACAAGTTATCCCACACACTACAGTTAGGTTAATCTTCCTAAGTACGGTTTTGAAAATGTCACTCTCCATGCTCAGAAATCTCCTATTGCTACTGTGTAAGTTT